GATATACAGAAAAGAGTGGTTATGTTCCAACAGTGACTAAGTGTAGTTAAAAGAATGGACATATTTCCAATAGATGAATACTTTTCAATATGCATATACACTTACCATGGGGAGGAATTTCTCAGTATGACACACTGAGGAGTACTAATTCAAAGCAGCAAACTTAGAGCAGTTAAAAAATGAAGGTTAGGAAGAAACTTCCACACAACTGAAAGCAAAATATATCAAAGCTGTAGGCCACAGTTTGTAAAAAAGCTACAGCATCACCATGCCTGCAAGTCTGACACAATGCTGCCAAGTGCAAGCAGAACAGTCATTTATGGACAGCAACAGCTATGGATCCTTAATTTTTTCTAACATTGACACATCTCCAGAGCATCGATGCAAAGAAAAAAGCATATTTAGGGAATGCAGCAACTCCCCAGCTTTTGTTCTACCAGCTGTGGCACTACCACTTCTTCTGCACTTTCTTATAATGTGGAGGAAATAAAAGAAATAACCACATCACAAACTAAAGGACTCTATCTGCAAACTTTACCCAGAATAAGATTAGACAAGGATGTGAGATAAGATCTGCAAAAACCACAGTGCATACTCAGAATTTATCAGAGGACACCCCTGGTATGTCAGAAGACACCCACGACTTGTCCTGCAGCAGACTGTTTCTTTCTTAAACAGGTGCTTTAGCAGCAGGAGCTTTCCAGCCAGTGAGTTCTTGTCCTTGCCCTCTGGTCTCTGCTTTTATAGGCACAAAGTTTGGGCACTGCCTTGTGTATGCTTTAAGTTCCTTTTTGTTGGATTATCTGTTTAATTTAGCAGACTTTTTCATGCAAAGTAATTTACAATTGAGATCCCCACTGCTGAGCAATACATAACATTGGCATCACTTGTCACAGCAGCTGAAATGAAAACCAAAACAAAAAAACATTCTAATTTGCTGCTGACACAGAGTGTCAGAGAGAACAACCATCAAGAAAGGAGCAGCTCTTCCCTGCTGGAAAGTTTTAAAGAAGCCATTTGTTTCCCTGTCAACCCTGTTTGCTACCAGGCTGCTCCACTCAAAAGGTCAGTTTGCTTTACAACAGTCAGCAGTTTCCATCCAATGAACCAGTTATTTCATGGAGAAATAAACCCTTCCTTTTAATGGAACAAGCTGTCTTGCACAATTCAAAATTTTATTGACCAAAAGCAACATGGCACAGGGCAGGTCAAGCAAAACCTGCGCAAACTCTGAGCAAAAGAGAGGGCTCAAACTCCATGACATTCCAAATATTCAGCATGGCTTAAAGAATATTAGAAGACTGTAGGAATTAACATCAGCACTGTATTTTTGATGCAGAGGCTGTAAGCCAGTACCCTCCTGCCTGCAGCACAAGAGAAATCCCACCCTGAACTGCAACACCTACATCAGACAAAATACACTCTGCAGGGCTGGTTCTGCCACAAACAAAGGGGTCATGAGCTATCATGAGCTATGTAACACAGATGGAGTAGCCCAATTGCAACATGGAAAACCTACACTTAGGTGGGGAAATCCCATCTGAAGAATCCCCCCAACATATGAAAACTGAGCCTTGAAGCCTGAAGGATATCCACATGTGATTGAGTTCACAAGTGCCCAAACCTCTCACACATCATCTTGGTGACCTGTAGAAAAATGACATACAACTGCCTTTGGCTTTCCTAGGACTTTATAATCTGCCAAATCATACAGCCAGGCCATTCATCCACTGCAGATTAGCAGAGGACTATCCTATGAGATGTTAAGGTTTCCAATGGGGGTCAGAAGGAACCTCTTATTTTTTTAATAGCCATATGAAGGACTGCCCTGCTCCTCAGCATGTCAGCACAATAACCCTTGCCACAAATGAATACAATACAAGAAAAACATTTTATTTCCCAGAGAAACTATCTCAGTGTCTGCTTCCCTTTACAATGCAAATGAGGACTACAAATGAAGATAAGACCACCTATCACAGCATGGGCTTTTCTTGGGATGTTTTCCTAGAAACAATGGCTCTGGTTCTCTTCTCCAGTCCTGACATCCCTTAGAACATTGTGGAGGTCTCAGGGAGCAAAGTGTGTAGAAGGAAAATGATGACCCCCTCCAGTGTCCCTACACAAAAAGGGGCAAATAACTAATAGCAGAAACCATGCAGAGAAAAGAAAAGTCACAGATCTTCATGAAAGCCTACCTGAAACTTCACCAAAAGAGGTTGATCCCCTTTTAATATCCAACTGGCTTTTGGTGTGGTCTTTGGTAGCTTGCCACTTGTATTGCAAAGGTAAATCACCTGTAAACATTCTTCTCTTCCTGTTCAAGGACCCCTGTCCTTTTGTATCCCCCTTCCTTTGATGGGTCCTTCTATGATTCAATGGCTGAGATGAGCAGAGAAGCCAGCCTAGGGGAGGGAAACCTCACCAGCCCTTTGGAATCTTCCAATGTTCCAGCATGTTAAAAGCACTCTCGAAGCACAGAGAACAGCAGGAAAGTACCATGAATAAAAATCATAGGTTTTTTTCCTCCTTTAATAAGACCCCTATGCATCCCCATGTAGGGAAAATGACTGAGAAGAATCTCATTCTCCTCACTTTCCTTGTTACTAGCTTGAAGTAACAGACAAGTCATTTTCACAAAACTATAAAGAAACACCAGAGAGCAAACAGACCACCCTGCAAAACCCAAGTAGCAGTGCTGTGCAAGGACAAGGCAGCAATCCCTCTTATTGTTCTACCAATCCATGGTACTGCTCAGTGGAAACCTCTTCTCAACAGGAATGGCAGCAGTAGGTCCCACATGGCACATCTTACCCCTTGGATCCAAGTTTTCTAAACAGTGAATGGTCCTACTCAGGACACTTCATATTCCAAAACAAGATACTCTAGTTTCTAACAGATAAATCAATACTCACATGTTTGGAAGTGCTTAAGGTCTCCAAGATAAGGTCCTTTTCATACCAACAGACAAAAACAAGACACTCTGATAAGCACAGTATCAAGAACAGAACACAAAATGGACACAGAATGCATTAATTTAAGGTCTCAAATACTTTTGGTATTTTACAGCAACTTAATCTTTGCACACATACACAGAAGGAGTAACTCATGACTGTGAAGCAGCATTTAGTTCTTTAAGCCATTTGCTCACATACTGTCCACTACTAAGTTGAAGACTGTTAAGTCAGAAGTGTTTCCTGCCTGCAAAAGGCCTTACCTTGGCATCATCTCCTTACAGGAGAAGTACTACATCAGCACTCTAATGCACACAGCTGTCTTCCAACACAAAATAAAAAAATCCCTTCTGCATTTATCTTGCCTGGCTTCAGAATCTCAAGTTTGCCCAAACCCTCAGCCCACAGCCCCTGCCATGCCCCAATGCTATTTTGAAGCAACATTTTGGATGCCAAGGGTCCTCAATATTGAGGCAAGGAAAAAACCTTAACAAACACCTAATACAAACTTTAAAATGGGAGCTTGAATTTGTGTTATGAGGTCTAGCTATTTTCTTAATATTTTAGATTGAAAAATTCCAGAGGCATAAGACTCTCAGAGCAGGGTGATAATTCCTCCATAGTTTATTAAGACCTTCAGTTTATATACTGCTGCTCTGTTAGCTTGTCATTAGACCATGTAAAACATCAGACCAAGAAGAGGGAAATGTCAGGTAGAAGTGTGACAGGCTCTATGAACAGCATGAATGAAGTTCAACTACACAACACAATCACAATGGAGTCAAACAACAGCCAGCCTGTACCGGTTCTCAAAATTAAATGAGACCATCCTTACAGTACAGATGTTCTACTCACAGCGCTTCTTCTTGCACAGACATCCACAAAAGGACTGACCAACAAGTTAAAAAAACAAAACTGAAGAGCTCCAAAGTCCAGGAAAGTTCAAAAAGGTTTAGTTTACCAAAAAGAACCCTCAATTAATTCCAACAGTTCAAGTGCAAGTGAACTTCTGATTAATATTAATCACAAACACCACCAGTTTACCATGCAAATATTTTAATTATTTAAATTGCTCTCTTCTGAGCATGAAGAGACAGAAGTACCACTCCATGGTGGTATTTCCTATGACAGTGACAAAGGACCACTTGCTTATAACTTAAATATAATAAATTCCCATTTTGTATAACTGAGGCTGAATACCCACAGGATATTATTAATATTTCCCCTCCAGCATCTGGTCTAATAAAGAAACACAGAACAGCTTTGCTGTAGTAAAAAGTTTACAGAAAGTTCAACAATTTAATTAAAGACAATACAAAATATGCTGTCTGAATTCAAATAATTTATGTAAAAGTACACGCATGAGAAAATACTGGCAAGAAGATTTGGGTAACCCTATTATCGGATGCACGTTTTTTGTTCCTAGAGATAACATACAGTCAAAAATACATTTATAATTTAAATTACAATAGAAGACAGTATTTCAAATACAATTTCGGGTCTGCCAGCCAGGCAGATGAAGGCAAAAGAAATTCCTGTTAACACAGGAAAAATGGATAGAATAGAAAAAAAAAGAGCAATACTGAAGTCACTTAACAAGCCTGCAGAGTTTTGGTTTTCCTTTTATCAAGGAGGGAGAAGATACCAGAAAGTAAAAGGGACTGTGTCTTCTCAGTCAGGTTTTTAGTAAGTGTGATCAGAGCATCAGGGATTACTTTCATCCATGTACCCCAGAAAAACCCATTCTCCTTGTGGAGAGACAGGGCACAGATCTCTTCCACAATGCCATGCGCACACAAGTGTGGATCCTGAACTACCTGGTTCTCAGGGGGCCAGCTTGGCCCCAACAAACACCTTCTCTGAGCCTCCAACAGCACCACTAATACTCTCACATCACAAGTTATTCCTCACCTTTATCAAATACTGAAACCCCAGAAGTCACCTTCATCATCATGGTATCAGACTGAAATACCCAATATTTCTCACCATGTGTCACTTGCCCTCCACATTTTTGTGGTCAACTAAACAGTTTAACAAGACGACACATGATTAACTTCTTTCAAGATACTTTAGTTCATTGATTCTCAATAAAAGCACTGGTTGCAGTACAATAGTTTGACATACAGCAACAAAAGGTACTCAATTTACATGCACAAGCTATATAACAATAGTACACAGTCGTTCCTATTGCCATTATGAAACAAATACTGTGACAGCTGGCACAACCTTCCAATTGTTCTCAGGAGCTGTAACAGAGTGATGAAAACGGTGTTGCAATGGTACAATGCCAAAGAACAGAGATTTGGCCACTGCTGGAAGATTTCAATCAAGCTGCCAGTATTGTAATGGGAAACAGTGTTGAAGTAATTGTAAAAACAGCAAGAAAAGAAGCTATGCAAAATTGCTCTGACTTGTACTTCAGTTTAAGAAAAATGTGAAAAATACATACAGCTTTGTATAGAAACAAAAGTGCATGCAGAGGCAGAAAAGTTAAAAGTTCAAGGGAAGACAAATGTGTGGATGAGTAAAAAAACCTCTGAACACTGAAATACTGTAAACCAGCAGCAATCTGTTGGTGAAAGAGTGCATAATTGCCTTTCTAGGTTGTTTTTGTGGGTTGGGGTTTTTTTGGTGGTTTTTTTTGTGTTAGTGTTGTGGGGGTTGTTGTTATTTGGATTTTAATTTAATTTTATTTTAATAAAGCTTCCACCTTTGAAGCACAAGCTGAAACTCCTCTGCATTTGTGCTTGCTGCTTGGCTGAGCTTTCATTCAGTTTTACAGCTTGGTCCAGATTTTCCTGGTTTAATGTGCAAAGTACAGCACATACTATTAGGACTACTCACTCCAAGCTTTCAACATCTGCTTTTTAAGAAACAGATCCAAGTGCCACCTTGATTAAAGTCAGTTTCAGTATTGCTGTTAAAGGGCTTCTAGAAATCAGAACAGGGAAGTCAGATTTATAACAATGAGCTAAGCAATGAGTTTTGTAAAACACGCACATAACAATAAGACTTTTCCTACAGCAAATAAAAATCATCAGGGGACTTGATTTCTTTTTTAACTTTTCTTTCTAGGTTTCAGAAGTGCTAGCAATTTCAGCAACAAAACTTTCAAAGTGCCCTGGCTGTGCCACTTTTTAGTGGCTTTTCCAAGTGGTATTCAAACAAGTAAGAAAACTTCTCCTCTAAGGGACAATTAGCAGTTTAGCATTATGCTACTGGCAAGTAAGATCCTGAAATATTATAAATATTCAATAGTTGTCATAATTCTATTCATAACCATATAAAAGCACAGTTACATGATACTGCACAGGTCTATAATACGCCAAGTAAGACTACAAAAACAAAAGTAAAAAAAAAAAAAGTAAAAAGGCCTCAGTTCTCCTATTTTTGTTGCTTGGTTTTTTTAACTAATTGTGTCAGGAAAAAAAAAAAGTAGCAAAGACTTAATCTTAAACACAAAGGTATTATCATCAAATCAGGTCCTCTAATCCAGACTGATGGTACACTTATCATTTCAACTGAAGCACTCATAACAAACTTGCAATGCCAGCATTCATTCATACCCTGAACTGTTCCCTGGCCTCATCTACCCAATCAATTATTCACACCATATATTAAGCAGAATAATTTAAAAAGTTGTTTGTGGTTTTGAAACAGTTGGTCTGAATTCTTTAATACCACACTCAAAACAGAGGAAGACAAATTAAGGATATTTCAACTCAATTCACAAAACATTGTTTAGAAAGGGGAAAAAAGAGGCATGAATATGGAAGTACAGAAGGTTGTTAAATCACCACTTTAAAAACGGACTTGGTAGAGAGCCTACACTGGAAACACTTACCTTGTCAAAGCATCAACATGATCATCAGAAGACAATTCAGCGACACTTAAGTCAGAATTGTGAAAAAATGAAACTATACTGTCAAAGATCACTGAAATATCTAATCTAAGGCAGTGCAAAATGATGGCTGGTGAGGGGCAACCAGTCTCCTTGCAAAGTGAGGGACTTCAAATTACTCATCCCTGATCTTCTTGATAATCTGCATTGAAGGACCTGATGAACACCAGTGATATTTCTGTCATGCAATTACAACTGTTAAGCAACCAATATGCAACTCAAGAGTGATACTGTCATCCATGGTGGATTATTGAAATAATAATCCATTAAAGAATAAGTTCAAAGGGGAAAGTGGTAAACATCTTGCCATAAGTGAAAACACTTCAAAAATTTACAATTAAATAAAAAGTTAGATGATATCTTATAAAAAGAAGTACTGAACACAACAAGGCCACAATAAATTAGTGTTTCCATAAAATGACATGCTGAAGGTTTTGTTCCCAAGTCTATACATTTTTTTACTGTCTGTTAATTCCTAAATATTGACAGCATAATTGAATAATTGAGGTACAGTAGTTTACATTTGTATATGTCTTGTAAAAAGATTATTATTTTTCTTCCAGTTTTTCTTCCTCCTCGCCAAAGAACAACAAAGGAAACATTCCTAAAATGCAGCCAATGGTCACTCCAATAGCTTTACCCTAAAGAAAGAGGGGAAAAAATTAAGTTTTTCACTGATCAGTTATTACTCATTACCCATGTACCACCACAACCAGGGACACACAACCCTTGTTCTAGTTTTCAGCTTGGAATCACATTTTTCTTAGCATGCAGACTAGAAACACAGTCTATGAGAGAGAGACAGATATGACAAGGTTAGAAACAGTGTTTGCTATGACAAAAGACAATTCTGAAGAAGGAGGAGGGCAATGATCATGAAGAGTTGCACAAGTGGTAAGAGAGGAAATGGACATTCAAAGGATAAGCAGAGTGGCCAGGAAGACAGAAAAGGAAAAAAAAAATAACCAAAACAACAAGCCACCAAACAACACCTACACACATTTTAGGTGCAATTATAAATGCATCTGCTTGTATCTGGTACTACAAATCATCAAAGGAAGGAGTGGCTCCTTGCAAACATGATGGCTTTCAAAGGCACAAGGCAAAACCAACAAAAACTGGAAAACATTTCAGTTGACTTGAATGTCTAAGTCAAGAGGAGAGGAAATAAAGTAAGACAAGCACCCTCCAAACCACATCAATAGCAGTAGGTGGATAGTGTTGAAAAACTTGAGACAGCAGATAAAAAAGACAAAATGCTACCATACAGGCAAAAGAACACTGAAGTTTTTTCACAGAAAAAGAATATAAACAAACTGAGTGCAATGACAGGTTTTGCCACAGGCTCAGCTTTTACTGAGAAGACTCTTAGACTATGGGGCAGCCCCCTGACAGCATGCCAACTCTTCACTGCTCCGTGCTTTGATCTATCACTGACTTTTTCTACCATAACTTTTCCTCAGTAAGTGCTATTTCTTCTCCCTTAAATCTGCAAAAGTATTTTTCCCAACGAAGGCTCATTCTGACAAAGAATCTGTTTCTTTACTCAGTTTCTGATAATCTGTTTCTTTAATCATTGCTCACTGCTGAAGTGGTACCACTTCAAATATTTAAATGTTAAGTAAGTAATTACCCTGAAAGGCATCTGCAAGGTGAGTGTCCTGTAACTGTAAACACAGGCAGTGCATACTACTCAAGTGCTGAAAGTTTGGCCAGAGAAAAGCTGATTTCATATCCAAGCTAATTATAGATCATTAGAAATTAGAACAAACCAGCACAGGTATATGAATAGCAGGCACTTGACAAAGAATGTAGAGGAGTAAACTACTAAGTGGTCATAACTTCCAAGTAAATTATCTTATCACCACAGCCAGAGCTCAGCCCAGGTATCTGCACAGTGTACACAAAGTCATTGCAGAGTCTATCCATGTCACTTGTCACTTGGGCTTGCTGCATACAAAAAAACCACTCAAGCTCAAAAAATTCCCATCTCTTGATTCTCCCTGATATGGGCTTAAGACTAAACCCTCTGGGGAACATGCACAAAGTTGGTGGCCATTAAGGAATAAATGGAAAAAGTGACAAAAAGCATTCATCAGCTGGTTTAAACACAAAAAGCTCCACACCAGCAGCACTGCCCACAGGATACTCACCAAGTGTGCACTGAGCCGGGTCTGCCACATGTCAGCTTGTTTGGGTGTCAGGTCAGGGATTGACAGACCCAGCCGGGAAGCCAAAGCTTCCACATAACCTGCAAGACTGAAGAACAAGAAAACAAGAACAATTGATTTTGAATCTCACAGTATCTTTTAGTGAGGGTTTTGAAATACTTGAACTTAAAGACAAGAGCTTTTCCTTCAGCATACCAATAAAGTGATTGAGAGAAAATTATGGGACAGAGTTCAGGCTTCTAAAGGTCACATTTTGCAATGTAATTTAATTATCTCACTGATTGAAGACACAGTATTTCTAAAAAACCTTATGCAGTACAACACAACTGGTGTGAATGTTAATGCATTTTTACAGAGCTTTTTAAGTAACCTTTACTGGAGGAAAGGTCACCCACAGACTAGTTAGTGGCAAGCCTTGTAATTTGCAGAAAACAAAACAGGGAAAGTGGGAAAAACAGGCATAACAAACAGCTTTAGTTTCAGCAGTTATGCAGGAACTTCCTGTAAAAACTAAATAAACTGGATCTGTTTTTATCAGAAATAGGTTTGCCTAGACCTGAAGACATTGCAGAGATATTGTTTCAGCTGAGGAGAAGGAAATCTCTTCAGATTTGGGGATAACAACCTGAGAAAGTATATTAGGCAGAACTATATTACGTGACAAAAAGAAATATTTTTCCACTTTGCATCTCAATGAATGCACTTAATATTCTTAACACAAGTTCATACATACCCCAGTCCAGCTAAATCTGAAACAAGGTTTCCCAAAGCTGCAGCTGGAGGGAGGAAGAGAAAAAGGTATTATTTTAGCTACAAACAAAACCAACCCTCCAACCCTACAAACAAACCCAGCTCCCACCCTCCAGTGACCTTCGCATACTCTCATTTTATACAGAATTAAAGACTAGACCTAAGTTCCTTATATTTTAGAGGTTTTTATTCTGACCTTATTACAATTTAATAACAGCAGCAGATTAGAATTAGTAAGAGGTGCAACTATTTTTCTCAATTTACATGGAGAAAACTTGACAAATACAAAAAAGACAGCACTAACACTTGGAAATCAACATAACTTTTGAGATTAGAGTTAAGAACAGCTGTGCATGATTGTCAGCTCCATGCAGCTAATGCTGCACACCAAGAAAAGCCTTCCAGTGCCTGAAGAGGCACAGGAGCAGTGTAAATAGAAGGAGCTGCCACTCAGGTATGCAGCTTTGATACCATGTCATTATATCCATGAACTGTGTCAATTCAAGAAGAAATAATGTAACACAAGTGAACAAAGTTACACACAAAATACAGATTTCACAGCAGACCTTACTAAGATAAGCTTCCCTGTGACTGTCTCACATTGAACCAAGGCCTGCAAATTTCCAAATCTTGAACTTGCCCTGCTGTAACATTTTCAGCTCAGCTCTCCCTCCTCGTGCTTTTGAGCAATGCTACACCTGCAGCTGGTGGATCCATGAGCACCCTCTGCCACTGCAGAGGCACCAGAGCTGTTGAGCAGAGCTTATCAGTCTTGGCCCAGGGCAGGGGCAGGGTGGCTGCTTGGCCTTCCTGTGGTATCTCACCAAGGCAGAGGAGCCACCAGGAAGTGCAGTACAAAGACACCAACACTGATCTCCCCTTAGTACTGCAAGCCAACAGCAACGTACAAACACATATATCCACATACATTGACACTGGGCCCTGGGGAATTTAGAGCAGTTCCATCACAGAAATGCAAATACACTTTCCCAACTCACCAAGGATTTGAATTATTAGGCTGAAATCAACAACAAGCACTTCAAAAGCTATTTGAACTGAAATTCCTTTTCTACAAATGGAATATGTCCTACATAGTATATGGTAGAGATAATTCATGCTATATATGTGTATAAAATATTGTAGAATCTAAGGTATGTCTGTGATCACCCTGGCTGGGAGCAGAGTCTCATTTTTATTCAATTAGTTCCCGGACAACGTTAAGATAATATCAAGTCTGTTAACATATGAAAGAAACCTTCCTGGGCCATGATTGATAAGTTTCTGTGGAATGTCTGAATCACGCACGGGAACTGCACCTGGGAAGATTGCATCTACCGTTCTCAAGAACCGGTGTAATCAAGAACCTACGGTCACTCTGCTACATACAAATACAGACTCTGCCGAGGTGCACAGACATCCATCTGTCTGGACCCCTGGACCTACCTTTGTCTATTCCTGCACATGTATGGCCCCAGTTCTACATGTGAAGAGACACAAAGAAACGTTCGGTCATCCCTGCCTCAGGCAGAATAAACTGTATATAAGCTGGCTGCTGGAAGCACTCGGGGTGAACCACGGGGAAACGCTGGCACTTTGTCAGTTGGATCTCGGTTCACCCAGCGCCTGCACCCGGGGCTGACGCTGTCTTGGCTGTGGTGGTCTTTTGAAATTCTGGGTTTTTTTTGTTATCGATCTAATGAATCTTTGTTAAATTTTTTTATAAATTTGGCTACCGATTTGATCATTTCTAACGTCCTAGCTTCACCCGAGTTGTTTCTTTATTAGGAAATGCAGCTGCAAGACTGAGGAAGAGCCATTTCCAGCCCTGTGTGCTACTTTCAGCTTAAAATATAGGAATGTGCCATATTAGTCTCAATGTGCTGCAATTTTAATACTTGCCTGCCATAGTTGAAATTCCTAAGACAACTCCAATTGACAATTCTATCTGGGTTCCCTGAAAAATAAACAGTTTTCTCATTATTTGAGGGATTTGGAGTTAAAATAAATTATATTGATACAACTGACAAAAGTTTTGTTTATTGCTTGTCTACATTAAAAGTGAAAGGATAAATGGACATTTCTTCTATTAGATCACAGAGTTCTTTTCTTCCTGGCATATATTCCCCCTAAGGCAAGGGTCTACTTCTGAAAGTCTTTTAATATTTCATATGTACTCTCTCAGGCAGCTGGGGGACAAACCTGCAACCCCTATCCCTGCATAGCATCTTCCCCACTGCAATTCTTAGCTGAATGTAGAGCTCTGAACAAAAACTTCTACAAATACCAAGCAAACAAATAAAACACAGTACCACAGCTCCTTATGTTTTCAGCTGAAGAAACAAAACCACATGGTCTACATTATGAAACACCAGTACATGGTCAAAAGATGAGAGACAAAGTGCATGAACTAAAACAAGACACGTTCCAGTTGGATAGAGCAAATCATTTTCCATCCAGGACAGCTGAGGACAGCTGAGCATTGGAACAGGTTGCTCAGACAGGCTGCCCTTGGATTTCTCAAGTTCTTCAGGATAAAACTATGAGCAACTTGGTCTCATCTTACAGCTGGATCTGCTTTGAGCAGGAGGTTGGACTAGAGACCCTGAGATGGTCCTGAGCAGAGGGACTTTCAAGACTAGACCTCACAGGCCATTCTATTCTGTTCTCTTGAAAAATATGCATCTTACAGACTTGTTCAAGGAATTAAACAGTGAACTTACCGCAGCAATCATTATTGCGTTATCCAAAAATCCAAACCCTACAAAAGGTAATGCATTGTGGAAGAACACTAAAAGAAGTAACAAAGAAAAAAGTTAATTTTTGTAAGTTCACTAGTGCACAGGAACAACTGAAATGTCTAATACTGGTTTTAAGAGAAACAAAGGCAGAGTACACAAAATTCCTTTCCTCCTGGTCACCTTTTTGTTGCTGGCAGGTGTGGTAAAACCCTTTGCTACACAGAAATGTTACTAATGGCTTGTGAAGAACCAGCTTAAAAATCTGCTTTGCAAGTACTTTTACAATTTCAGGTGGAAACCACTTATACCTACCAGTGCATAAGAGAAATACTTAAAACTACACGAACTCTGGTATTATTTACAGACCTTACAGCGATGTTGCAGTATCACTGAAAATCACCAAACTGTCTCACCAGACTTCTTGAAATAAAGGCCCTTTTTCTGCAAGTCACTCACTATTTCTGTGCAAGAGCTCCATCTTCTTCACACATTCCTAACATTTTGTATTTCAATTCTTCAGCCAAATCTGCAGATGCTAAGGTGAGTTTCACTAGGGTGTCATATACTCTTAATTATCTCACAATTTCAATTGTGAATTGTATCTTGACTTTGTTTGTGCGCTATCCTCATTGCAAGTTAGACTTGTAGCTGCTTTTTAATACATTGCTTAAGAAACCAAACACCACCTTTTGTTTCACGCATTATCTTCTTTTTTACTTTTAAAACCAATTAAATCCTTTCTGAAAATATTTTCTGTTGCAGAAGCTTGGAACATGCTGGTCTGCGTAATTTCTCAGAATGAGCACAGTCCTACTGTTTCATTCCTTTTTGTCTTGGTTAATTTTCTCTCTCAGGTTTTAGCTTGTAAGCTTTTGATGGGGGTGGGACTGAATTTGCACAGCATTGCCTCCAGCTCAGTTTCAAGGTGCTCACTTCATAAGACTAAATACAGCATGAAAACAGACTACACAACAACAATACAGCTGAAAATTGCATTTTTTTAACATTTAAAATGCAGCAGAGTTTGGATTTGGTTGGAGTTTGGGGCTTTTTTTCACTTCATGTTGGACTATAATTCCTACATTTTATAAACTTAAAAGAGATGCAAACCTAGGAAGAGGGATGAAAGAAGAGTGCATGAACCTCAGAGTCATGTGAAAAGAAGCTGATATCCAGTACCTTTTGGGTTTCCTTTCTGCAGACAGTATGAATTCCATGACCACACAAAAAAACCAAAGCCACATTCAAGATCTTTCATGCTTAGGTACTGAATGGTCATCTGTAACTATTTTGTGAGAATACACCTATTTTCTAAACTGCACAGGTAATAGACTACAGCACAAAACCTATGAAACATTCCAATTATTTTTAAATTATCATAGGACAAACCCACCAAAACATAAATAACAAAACAAGCACACAGATAAGCCCAGTATTTTCAAAATGTGTGTACTGGAGCTAAACTGGGACCTCAAATTCTTGTTGAAATGCACAAAATTTTGGAATTCATGGAGTAAACAGAACCCCAGACACAAAGGAGGGGGGGGAACAAATTAGGAAAAAAACGTAGATAATCAGAAAAGGAAAATGTTTGCCTAAATAAATTTGCTCACTGAAGAGGACAAAAACACAAAAATACACTAATTTGGAAACTAAATCAGAATTTGAATCATGAATCATAAATGCACAATCTGTTTCCAATTTCTTTGCAATTTTATACCACTTTTCAGTCCTTTTAAAACACAAAACCTGCACAAGGCACTGCAGCACCAACACTGCTTGGCTTAGAAAAACAATGTTTGCTGCTGGCTTTGAACAGTGTGCTCTCATTTGGGCTTTCTGTCCTACTTTCAGTAAGTGTTGCTCATTCTCCAGCCGAGGTGTTATGAAACAAAGGCAGCAGGGTGAGTGTTGGTGCTTGCTTTGGTTTTCTCTTACTCCATACAACAGGGATGAGGACAGACCAGCACTTGTGGAACAAAGATGAAGCCAATTCAAAGAGAGACTGCACCAATACTGAACCACATTCAACAAACATTCTTCTTTTACCATGTCTCAGTTGTCCTGGAGATGGTGGTGCAACCTCCAACTTCTCTAGAGAAGTCAAAATGAAATGAGAAAGTTAGCTGCTTCATCATAGATTCAGTTTATTATCAAGTCTTTACCAAATTTCTAGCAGGCAAAAAAAAGCAGTTATGTTATTTAACAGCTATCAAATGGGAAAGAAAAATACTTCACACCTACATTTTTATTATTTTTACAAAAGATAACATAGTATTAAAAGCCAAAATGTCTTAGAATATTACAAGCTTACACCAGTATAAGTGATTATGCACAGTAACAGCATACTTCAGAAGCAGTCCAACAGCCATCTTCATTTGAAAATTACAAAACCACACCAAAATTAGAAAATATCACATCTTCTACAGACAATTGTATGGGTTATTTTTAGAGGTCCTCTAAACATGCAGCAGACAACCTTCTTTCCCCCAGAGAGTCTGCAATATAAATACTACCATTTATATTCTCACCAAAGGTATTTTTCACGCCAATGTAAGAATAAAACAAAAATGGAGACCACTGATTTTGGTAACAGCAGATTAAGTTTGGTCATTTGATGCATGTTTCAGGTATCCTGGACTCAAATGAAGGAAGAGTTTGCAAGGACCAGGGCATTACTCCTGAACCTGACAGAGTACTTTGTCTACAGGAAACCAACACAGTTGTGATCAGAGATGCTGTGCAGAATGCAGCAGCAAGTTACTCGTTTAACAGCAGCAAGGGTTTAAAAAACCTAGCTACTTTTTTAGGTTTCTCTTGTGCATTTTTTATAGTAGATATTGAGCATAAGATCTCCTTTTTAAAACAGAAAAAAATCATTCCCCAAATATTTTCCAATATTATGAGCCCTGAGAACATGACAAGTTGCTTCCATACTTCTGCTGAGGTAACTTCTACAGACAAAGGTTAAAAATGGTAAAACCTGGAACCTACAACACTCAAGTATTCAAATTTTACTTGGGCAGACAAGTACATGGAAAGACAGTGCTGCAAACACAGAGTGTGATTGATTTGAGCCTATGTCTGAGCACTGCAGACTGAAGTGAGTATTCCTGCATCCTAGTCACTCTTAGACTCAAAGCCATTTTAAGGAAGAAACAGAAATATTCACTCAAAGTACCTTTGAGGAAAAAAATTAGATCATAATGCCAGTATTTAGCCAACCAGGACACTGACTTCCAAAATAATTTCACTAACTGAAGGACTAACACTTTCAAGCCCTAGCAGTTACTGAAGAGGTGCTTCCTCCCTCTGCCCAATATAAACACTGCCTAAGCTCTACAAACACCAGATGCACCCACCATGCAAATGGGACAAGTATAGTCCAAATGCTACATTATTTTGCTCTCCCCTATAAAATGCCAAGGAATCTACAGATTCAAAGCTTAGGCTGGAAGAGGAACACGGTAAACAGAGGGGGCCCCATTGAGAGTCAGTCTTCTGAAGCCTTGAGTATAGATGGCAAGGAAAGATTAGACCAAAATTTTCAGCTTGTGTTCAGGGTGAATGGGATTGGGGATGGGACCCACTTTTATAGTGGTCTCACTTCCTTCTGTTTTCACAGGTTAAGCAAATCTTTGACAGAAGCATGGACAAAGCAAGAAAGACCTGTCTATACACACCAGTACTGCCCTTTGGGCAGCTTTCCTCAAAGACAATTTCCACAACACTGGGGAAAAATCTGAGCCACCTTGAAATAAAGAGATTATTAGCTGAGGCCACTGGCTCCAAAAGCTCCAGATGCCCTGAAGGTGGCCAGGAAACCTAAGTCAACACTGTCACATTCCTGATGAGCCTTCCCTAAACTCATTTGCTCCATCCTGCTGAATGCCAGGGAGAGAATAAAAACCCCAAACTGAACATAAGCACAGGAGGTCAGCAGTGCTGCCCTCCACAGCTTTCTGCTCTGATGGGAAGCTCCCACACCAACCACTGTGGTTCCTGGGCTTCCTGTGGCACTGCCACTGAAACCACCCCTGCTGCAGTGCCCATCTGGTTTTCAGATTTAGATCTCCATATAAAGGATTTTGTGCTAAGAAACTGTATCAACATAAACAAATTTCCAGGAAACACTCTACCTCTGAGAAAGGCATCTTTTCAGTTTTCCCTAATTATGACAGCCAGTTAGATTAGATAATTTCAATCTATTTTGGGTATCAATACAGAATACAAAAGACTATTCAGCTTGTCACAAAATACTACAAAGCTCTAGAACATCAGTTCTCTGGATTGAACTACAACTGAGTTTGATAGCACCTGTCAGTCTACAAAATTACATTCTATTCAGTCTAGCTAGACAGCAATTCAAAAAAGCTAAAAAAAAACAGTGAATATTTGATTTCAGAAACTTACTACCAAAAGGAAGAATTAAGGGTATTTGGTAGAAGGACAAAAATAAAAATGTCTTACATCTAGGCATAATGGGAGTTCCAAGTAACTAAAAAGAACATCAGCTCCTCCTTCTGAACATACATCAAGAGCTACTGGGATGTTTCTAAAAGAAGGGAGGTTGGGGGACACTACTTTGAGGTTAGATGAAAGACAAGTTAGTGCAAGCTAGAAGGAAATACCAGGGGATCAAATATAAACAAAAATTACTTGATCATTGACATAATCTGTTTCAGTAGCATGGGATTCCTGCTAAGTAGGCATTTTATCAAGCAGTCCTTCAACACTATCAGGGCAGAAGCTGCCAGAGAGGTCACTGGGGACAGCATGGTGGCACCGTGCTCTGGAGACCAGACGGCTCCTGATCGGCCACAGGGAGCTCATGCCAGCAATGGCATCTTCCTACTGCACATGCAAGAACTTTATTTTATAAAAGGGAGTCTTGTAAACTCGTGTGGAAGTGTGCCTAGCTTACAGCTTCCCTCATCATCAAGATAAAAATTAATCTGTGAAAAAAATCGGTGATTACACATATTAATGAGATAGGAGAAGTCTGCCAGATGAAGTTCAGTAACTGGTGCTGGTGAGCCCTGCTCATGGGCTGGACAGGGCAGCTCCCTCTCAGCCTGAGCCAGGACAGAGCCTGAGAGCCTCTCATTCCCCCCAGCACAGAGCAGGGCCAAGTGAGACCAGGGGGCTCAGGACCTTGTCACAGGCTACCTGCAGCACCAGGCTCATGGGAAAAGCTGTCCCCTCTGGAGCACTAAAACAAAGCTTTAAAGCACAAAGACAACTTCCCTGAGAACTGATGCTCTGCCTCTGCCAGGTACAGAGCACTGCCTGCTGCAGGAAAGGGCTGCTCCAGTTCAGCTCTACTTGCACAGGCCAAAGACTGGTCTAAAGCTGGGACATGGAGAAGGAAAAAAAAAATTAAAGCAGAAAAAACCCTCCAACCACTGTGGCATGAAAGCCAAAAACCTTTCTATGGAATCACTTCCAATATCACCTTTTTAAAGCATACATAAAAGTACTGCAAGACATAAAAGCACTGAGAGCCAAAAAATTCTTTAAACCAATTTTAAAAAACTCTAGATAGCAAAATATATTTCAGTATAGGGTATTTATACATAGGAAGTTGTTCTGACTATTTTCAAGACTCAGCAAAAAACGAGAATAAAAATATTCAGAGAGTACAGCAAAGGAAACGTGTCTTTTGTTTATTTTCCCAGAGGGAAAACAAAACCTAAATTGCAAAACCCTCTTTAAAGAGCTCGATTCAGTCAGAATCAAACAATTGAGAGTTTAAATGTCTGGAGGAAAAAGAAAACAACTCTAAAGTACTCCAGAATTGCATTTCATGCTGGCCATTCACCAGCTCATCCTGCGTCAGAGCACTCAGTATGACACAGAATTCATGTTACTGCAGAGGGAATAAAATGAAATGGTGGAGTGAGGAATTGCTATTTTCTAAATGACATTCATTACCATAAATGAGGTTAAAAACCAAGGCTCAAGTGCAATACATGTCATGAGCCCTGAATTAGCAAAGTGGGAAGCAGAAAAACATTTACTGCTTCTTAAATCTGTTCTTGATATTTTTAAAATGTATACAACCATATTTTTCCTTATTTTACAAAATAGTTAGAACCTGGAGGGGGAGCATGGGGGTGAAGGAGTGAAACATAAAACCATCAACATAAACAATACCATCATCCAACTTGGTCCAAACCCAGCAAGTTATAGTCACTCTGCCAACTGTAGACAAGTACTTGCAATTTAGTTTTAGAATTATTATTCTTAGCTGACAAACTAACCACAACTGACTAACAGGTAATGGGAGTGCATTTATTAAAAAAAAAAAACAAAAAAACCTAACCTAAACCCAGCAAGTTGTCATCACCAGCTTCTGAATTATCAATTTTTTAAGAACTGACATACAAGAGAACTTGCAAGCCTAAAGGCATGTATTATGTTTTATTCAAATTGCAGCTAACACCACCATAAAATTTTACAGCTGAATCTGTTACTGTCACCCAGGGGCAGGAAACACTAACACTGAATGCAGGCACTACTGCCAGAGCTACCCTTGGAAAATACTTCTGCTGACTATTGCCATATCTGAGACAAAAACATGAGCAGTGTTTTATAGATTTTTAAATAGTGGCTGAATTGTTTAAATTAATTATTAACCAATGAGTATTAAGAAGAGGAGTACAATAAATATTAATAATCTAGATCTATTATAACGTCATTTTAGGCTCTAAAGGCATGTAATCTAGAAGTTACAGAGGGTTTTGTCTTGAATTCATCAATCTGTTTCCTCCAAAAAGCCCATCCAGATCATTTCAGCTAATCATTCAGATACACATCACTGAAACAACAAAAACATCACTTACACAGAACAAGAAATCAGAGCAATTATTGTGTCTACTAAAAAGAGGCACTCCTTTGCACATGAGTTCATGAGAGGATCGATACAACCAGAATTCTGGATTGGAGCTTAAAAATGAGATGTGTTATTGCTTTGTTCAGAGGTGGATCCTCAAAAGCAATTTCTGACTCTATGTATGAATTCATTCATGGAATAAGACCATAAGGCACCTCCTTATCATGCTTTTTTCTTCCTCTGCTATTCCTCAGTGTTT